GAAAACGCACCTGTACCACAGAAAAGGTGAACTCACTAGTTTTGCGTGAGACAAATCACCAGTACCACGGAACATGCGACTCACTAGTCTTGCATGAGAAAACGCCTCTAAACCAAAGGAAATGTGAACTCACAAGTTTTGCATGAGAAAACTCACTTGTGCTTTCACTCCTTCATGGTCGATCCACTTGACCCAGCAAGACTGGACTGCTGAGGCAGGAGTACACGAACTGTGCTCTAGACTGACTTAGTTCCCGTCCGAACTTTCACGGTGCTGACCTGTCGATGGCAGAGTAGCCCAGTGGCCGTCTCTGAGCATGCCTTGGAGTCAGCCGGAAGATCTTCAACACTTCTGTTATGCTGAACATAAAATCTCTAGTCAAGGGCTTTTGTCTCAATGGCTGAAGGTTTTGGGTTGATTTAATTGGGAATGGAGGCCACGGTTTTTGCATGCGTCCAGAAGAGTTTGCGCTTTTCTGCAGAGTGCCGACGCCGTGTTGTTAGACTTTACCAGGTCAGATAAAAGCCAACAGGCGCAGTGATCGGGTGGGGTGGCTTCCCACTAATTACTCGTAACTGCCTTTGCTAGTCGATCTACTCTCTTACTTCTCACCGCCCTACCTTGCCATCCCTTGCCCCCTGTGCCTTGGCCCTGACCTTAACCCCCATCATAATCCAAACATGTCCTGAACCTTACCATTTCCGTTTCCCTGGCCCTTACCCTTGCACCCTTGCTGCCGTGGTTGGTTCGAAAGGTGTCGAAGCTCCGATTCTTGGGACTTAGTAGTCCTACAGCACACAAGTGTGTGGGCTGCAAACTACATTGCTGCATGGATTCCTGATAAAGTGGACAAGACCGCGCAGGCCGTTAAGCATGCCAAGGCACGGTGATTTCGCACATTGGGTCCGATGTGGTCCTACTTCGACAGCTACAAGCACAGGACATGAGTCACGAAGTTGAGATCTGCTGGCTGTTTTGCCATAAGGCTTGGAATTGGAAATCCATGTCCATGCCCCAAGCAGCCACAAAGTCACGAGGCAAGCCGGCTTGTTTTGTTCTTTTCCGCAAGTTCTCGGCTGCTGTGCTGCCATTTCGCTGTTTTGCTAATTCGCAGAGCTTGAAGATGATGCATCTGACGTCAACAAAGCCATCTTCGCAGCTGCCTCTTCATCCAAGGATGGTCCCTAGTAGGACCCGCAAGTTCCCTGATCAATGAAACATGTTGCGCATGTTGTGCCTTTACAGTCTTCTGCTTCTTGACCTCCTCTCGCACCTCAGCTACCCTAGATCTGAATGTATCATGACAGTCTTTCACTTGCTGTCTTGATACCGGGGACGAGCTCGAGGAGCTTGAGTCTTCCCAGGCAAACTTGGTATCATTCGGGCTGTCCACCTCCGGCAGGTCCTCGCAGGCCCAATCTGTGTTGCTCAAGCCCGAAGGTCAGTTTAAGGCGTCCTCTCCCATCGAAGGGTGCCTACACCCAAGCGTCCTTGGGTTGAGGCGGCAGATTTTGAGGAGGCCGTGCAGGTGCAGGGGCAGCTGCCTGGCAGGAACATTGGCTGCAAACACAACATGATGAAGAAAGTCTTCCGAGCAAGCTGCTACCCTCTCATCCTCAGAAGCTTTCCGTTTCTTGATCTTCTTGTCCTTCTTCTTGTCCTCCGAGTGATGGGAGTCAAAAGCGACTTAGCCACAAGATCGTGAGGTTCCTTTTTTTTCTTTTGCTTCTTATCCTTCTTCTTCTTCGACTTCTTTTCCCTGCGAAGAAGGCTTCGACTCTCAGCTTAATGCTTCAGTTCCGCCAAGCCTGGCAGCTTTCCGAGCCGCTTTTTGCACTTTTTTCAGTTTCTCGGCTTCACGGTGCCTCAGGTGGCGTCAATCTTGACTTTATTGGCTGCAATCATGGCCTGTTTGAGGACATCCCCTTCCAGAATTTGACCCAGTACGCATCTGAAGGAGGCATGTAAATGCCAGCTATGTGAACTCTAACCAGGCCATTCATTTGGACCGTCAAGGCTCTCAATACCAGCCACAGCAGCTTCAGATGCCACAACGGACCAGTCAACTCTGTAAGATTTTTCCTCGAGGCGTTCATTCGGGAGACCGACATATCGAAGATAGCCAGTTTGAGTGGATTCGGTTTCAGTCATTCAGGGCACACTTGAACAAAGCTTTCCGGCTTGCGAGGGTTCTCTGTTGTGCAATTGGGGGAATGCGCTCACGCTGCCATAGAGATGAGATTTCGCAACATCTCAGGCGCGCTGGCTGGTTGCACTTGACGTTGCTTTTGCAAACTTTCGCGGCAATGTTCGCTTCCATAACCCAATCACAATCCATTCCAGCTAAGCGTCACTGACACCCTGGTAGTCACCGCCCGAAACGGATGAGACTGACAGCCTTTTCGTGCCATACAATTCGGTCATGAGCTTGCCTTGGCATTTGGCAAATGAGTGGTGGGCTGCCTTGAACTTGAACTCAGGAAGCACGTGCTGCCCCAGCGGCTAATCACTCGTTCCTGATCTGCCTTCTGGCAGCACTCCATCTGCGCGAAAACTCCTCTGTACCGAAAACGCCCAGGTGTGACCAACTACAATAGGTTGACGTTACTTGACAATCACATCTGCACTGCAGCCTCGGGTGGGCGACCAGCACAGAGCACAAGTCTTCAGGCTTGCGGAGCACCAGTCCTTGCAAAAGCGAGCCCTGACCAGCTGGTTTTGTAGCACTGCTTAGCACACTGCGCGCAGTCCAAGCATCAGTAACATACTGCGAGAAATAGGCCAAGTCCCGAAAACTGTTCACTGCCTTGTCAAAGTTGTCCTCAGATCAAGCAGTCCTACCTTTGCCAACGGAACTGCTGCATGTCAGGTGGACTTCAAAACGCTGGCGCCAGATGGAACAAACGGCCAGTCGCGGCACTGCATAGCAAAGAAACGCCGCGTCTGCATCCCGGCGAAAAGCATCCACGAGGCCCTCTGGCTTGTAAAGAGGCAGGTGGCTGCCTTCACCTCAACTGGCCACGAGCTGAAGATGGCGCGTAATGTGTGTATTCCAACCGCGCGTAGCATAAGGCAAAAGGATCCAAAGGAAGCACGAAGCTTTTCCTTTGCAGCCATTTCAGCCCGCTGCCTGTCCAGCTCTTCACGCGCAGTGTGTCTTTGTTGCTGGCAAACTCGATCTCCACCAAGATTGGCAATCGTGCAGAGTCGACGCGTAGCAGCGCGCAAACAAGCTCTCCATACCTCTGAAAGCAAACGGGCTGCAATGTGTATGCGCTCGCACGAGTGAGATCATTCCAACCAGAGCTGTGACTAGTCTTTGCAAACAAATTTGGGCTCGGATGCTACAGTAGCAACTGCAATCAACGCGTGACAGGTCACGGTGCTGGCACTATAATACTATAGCATATGACAGACATATCTTGCTTGACAGGGATCTTGCTTCTTGAAATGGCAAGACACTGGCCGAACTCGCGCCTCAGGGCCCGAAGACCCAATGCCTGCAAAGAGCCCACAGGTGAGCCCTAACAGCCGTTACAAGTCGTTCTTGCGGCGCATTTTTGTGCATCAAGCGGAGTATCCCACACCAGTCCCCCTAAGAAAATGCTGTCTGATTTGGTCTGAACTCGAAACTTCATTGACTCTTAAAGCCAGTGCACGTTTAATTGATTCGTGCGGCTAGCTTCAAAACATGCCTCCGCGCCCTCCATGACCCGGAACTGGACCCTGGGTTTGCCAGGTGCCATTGCGAAGAAAGCTGGCCATGAAAGGCCTGTGCTTGCATGGCTGAGTTCCAAACTGACACAGTACTTGCTTACCACGCCGTGCCAGTTAGATCAGGCTTCTTGTGCTTCTTCAGGGTGTCGAAAATTGCAAAGCTCTACGAACCTGAAGGTTGTGCGGGCGTGTTTTGCCAGTGGCTGCGGACGTGGAAAACTAATGTAGCAGCAACAACCTAACAGCTGTAAGCAAAAGGCCAAGGCAGCCACTTTCTCGCAAAAGTTAACTGCTTCTGGTTTTTCTCCATGCTACAACGCAACGCAATCAAAGGCATGACCCGACATATGCATTAGCCGATTAGCACTGTTGCTAGGTCCGTCCTCAACTGCATTTTGTCTTGTCTTGGGAGATGCTGCGCCTTATCTGCGAGGCATATGCATGCACCCCTCGTGACTTTCACGCTGTCATCCCTATGTGGGGACGCGCCGGTGCAAAGCAAAACCGTGTTGAACATAGCTTTCAAGAACGAGTAGCTCTTTTGAGGTGCACTCTCCAAGAGCCGATTAGCCGGGATGTCTTGGGGTAGGACCTGACAGCCAGGAATCGCTGCAAATGCTGGGCTTCAGCAACTCCAATCAACAGCCCCAAGAATACGGCCTCCAAGTGATTGAGTAAGTCAACGTGGCTGAGCCACGGAAACCATAATCTCCAACCACCTGGGACATTGATGCCATTCTGCAGTGTATGTGAGCAGCTGTCTACGGATCACACGATCAAATGGCGTCACTGCTCGATAACTGCAGGCTTGCAACATGCACATTCTACAAGCTTTGGGCCGTAGGTTACAACTCTTTTGTTTGACCCCTTCTGCATGGCCCATTTCTCTTAGTCATATTCTTAGCCTCATTTCCTTGCACACACGACATTTTCCAAATCCTACGGTCTGGAGGCCCTGTCCCTCCAGGAGCTGCAGCTTACATGGACTTGTGGGACAGCAAGAAGATGTTGGAGATCAGGCATGCCGTTACCCAGCAACAGCAGCAACAACAGCAACAGCAGCAGCAAGAAGAACAGCAGCAACGGCAACAACAAGCATTGCTATTTCTATAGAATTATTACTATTGCAAGTATCCGCCGCCGAGGTCCTCAGCTTCTGGCATTTGGGAGGGAAACTCTTTAACCACTATCGCCTGGTCCCAAAATGAGCCGTTTTCCCAAACTCCCCTCCACCCCTCCCATCGCGGGAACCCTCTCAGGGTTGGAGTCGTTGCAAGTTTGTCGTTTTCTCTCTCCTTCCTCTTTCCCTACCACGCCGTAAGTGAATCGTGTTGATGAGTTCTACCGTCGTCTTCAAACTTTTGGAGCCTGCGTTTCCACCACTCGGTTGACAGCAAGCCGATGTTTCGGTGCTCAGCCCCGAGGAGCTCCACAGAAGGCCTAGGGTCAGGCTTCAGGTTCCGGTCGTTCCACTAGGCTCCCAAGTTATGGGCTGGCGCCTGTAGGGGCTGATTTCCAACCCTTGCACACCCTCCAAGATTTGGGCCTTCGAGGTTCAGCTGTTGGAATCTTTTGGTTGCTCCGAATGTCCGCCGGCCCCTATGATGGCCGCAGCTTTTACTTGTAACTTGGGCCTTATGCAGTATTTTGAATCCGCTGCCCCTCGTCTCGTTCGCGTTATATTATATGTTTGATCTTGGATTGACAAAATCACGTGATCTCGTTCGCCATGTTGGAATATGTGCTGGGCTCTTACTGCAAAAGAAACTGTGGCCTATCTCGTTCAATCCGCGGCCCCTATCTATAGTTCTCACAGGAACGCTCAACCCAGATGCAAAAATACCAACGTTCCTGGCCTTCCAGTCTCTTACGCAAATCAAGTATGGGGCGCATCTTTAAAGTTTAAGTCTGGATCCAGCTAAATATGCCGTTCCAACCATATAGAACATGATAGAACAGTGTAGGGTTTTGATGACATAAGGATTACTAAGGTCATTCATGGTCATTCATTGTAATTCATAAGCTTTCTGAGTGTATAAGCTTGCTGTAGTACGTACAATATGAACTTTAGGTCATGCACGGTCATTCCGAAAATGAACGAACAAGTACAAAGTAATGTAGAGATCATGTAAAGCAAAAAAACTCGGGATGCCGGTGCAAGAGTCACAGAACACGGCAGAACAAGCAACAACATGCAAAAAATGTCATTAGCATGCAAGAATTTGCCTGCGGGAACATGCACGAATAGTAGTATAGCTGCAGCATTTTGCAGTAGTCGTAATCCTAGTTTATCCAAGTTCATCCCCCAATATTTCCAAACTCTTCGGCATCCTTCAGCTACCTAAAGACCTTCCATACAGGGATTCTATACACTAGTTTCTATCATTTCAATTCTTAAAGGCTGCATTGCGGTGACAGGCGCTCTGTGGATGTCGCAAGACTGCCCTCCGGCATGTACTCCTCTATGAAATGGAGAGGCTAGGTCTGCAGCTTTTTCAAGCTAATTTCGAAAAGGCCCCAACACCTTCGCTTATGCAATGCCTTGCTGGGCGTATGTGCGCTTGATTGTTTTGTAGACCCCGCCCCCCCCCTCCCCCCAATTCTCTATAGGAACTATAGGATGGTCGCTATGCAATCAGAAGAAAGCATTTCCTGGACACCACCATTCCATAGGAAATAATCAACCCCCCATATTGCAATGTATGAACACCGCGCGAGCAGACTCTTCTCCTCGTTGGCGACTTGTGGCCTATGCTAGCACCTACTGACACTAAAAAAACCAGAGCCAAAATCAACTCATACTGGCCGCGCCGCTACGCAGACCGTCGTGCACGGCACGAGGCCTAGGGTTTTCTGCTGCAGAGTTCCGTTGCAGAACCCACCACTTTCGAATTTGGTTGACCATAATCATAATCATTTTGGATTCCTTTGCTCTCCTTCAGCTGCTACTTGTATCTAGTGGCAGGTCCATTGGTTTCCTTTGCACTGGCTTAGCCGAACAAAGCTGCGATGAAACAATGGGCGAAAATTGCCCAACTCTCGCGAAATTGAGGTGCAGGACCGAAGAGGAACAGTCAACTGGAAAACAACGACCACAGGGCCTATCAGCAGCGACTAGGGGTGCAAACAGGGGAACACCCTGCTGAAAGGGCAGGGTAGCGAAACCTTCTTCATGATTGCCAAATGGTGACCACACTTTCCTCAGGTGTCCGTTGACCAAAGGGACCTCTGTTGGGCTGACCGTCAGCCGTGCAGAAGGCTTTGATTGCCGCGCCTCCCCAAGCAGCATCTACTTTACATGGGGCCCAGGTCCCACAGCCAAGCTACAGTACACTCTGAAGTCACAAGCATACCTGTAAACACGCATCCTAATCCCTAACCCCAGCTCCTCTGATATGACTCTGCGGCACGCGACCGGGCTGCTTATCCCTTTTGCAACTTACATATTCGAAAAACCAGGCCTGAAGAAAGGCACATGTTGGTTTAGGTATGGTTTAACTCAACTTTGAGGGCCAAGTAAGGGGTTTCAGAATTTTATACTGGACTGTTGTATGTCGGGTAGTCGGAGCTTGAACGTATGGGCAAGCCAGGGTTTGGATTGTGTGTTGGATAGCAATTGGGGGGCTGATTCAAACCCCCCCCCACCTCCCCCACACTATCTGTGGGGACGCTAAGCCGATGCGAAACGGTTCCTGAAACCAAGACGGAGCCTGAAGAAGGCTTCCAACAATTGGAACAAGCCCTCAAGCAGGCCAAAGAGACTAAAATGGCTGATCAGGAGAGGCAAATCAAATGGCTGAAATCCCCGCCAGGCCATCAGGATAGCCAATGTCACCACGGCCCGAACAGATGTGTGGGATTGGGCAGCAGTTCAGGAGTGCGGTGTTCATATTATGTGCCCAGAAACGCACCTCACGGAGGCTCAGTGTGGGCCAGCTGCGGCCAAGCTGGAAAAGCAGTTAGGGCCACTTGGAGCAGCCCTGCCGGGATTACTCCGGCTCCTGGTGCTAGCTTGTAGAAAGCCGCAAGAGTTGTTGTCTTGTCTATGCAACAACAGGCCAAGGAGCATACGCCGCACTGAGTGGCACAGCATGCAGTCGCGCAGACAGTGTGGAGCGCGAAATCAAAGATTTGCGACTCAATGATCTTATCAAAAGGAAGTGGGGTGACCCACTTTTGTGGTAGGATGACGCGCGAAATGGTCTCGCGGTCAGAGAGAGCGAGATAGATAGATAAATAGATAGATAGATAGAGAGAGAGCGAGAGACAGAACTCAATCGCCCAGGGTGCAATTTGCCGGGGAGACAAACAGTTCATCTAATCCCCACGGAGGGTGGGGGAACGTCCCGCTCCCCGCGCTCCTCGCGGCAAAAGGCTTGCCCGGCAATTGGACTCTGACGACCATCAATCTCACGTTACCTACGTTTAAGGCAAAGAACCATGGCCCGGCCCAGTCACCCTAAACAAGTTGTGGGATGGGATCCAAGCATACATGTGGGTGGGGGCAGAACATTTGCCTATGCAGGGCAAGTTTTGCAAGCTAAGCACAAAAACCATTGGAAAAAGCGTGTAGGTGGTACCCGCGGATTTGGAAGATTTGGGGAGTAAATTGTATAAAATTCCCGGGGAATCTTCTGAAACGCTCGCCCATTTGCTTTTTGGACGACTGGATGCTTCTAGGACATGAATGAGGGCGTTAGTCTGCCGAACTAAAATCTTTGTGGTAAAAACAGTCCTCTCACTTCCTGACCGCATTATTCACGGGTGAGTGGTAGCGCTGACCCGAGCGCTCCGTTACTTCGTGTCCGGAAGCTGTAAACATGGACTCTAATCAAGCACTTCCCTCGCATTGGCCATGCAAACATGTGCACGCGATTCGCGCAGCCTGGCACAAAACACAATGACTGGGCCAAGAGACTTGCTTCAGAGATCGGAGGGTGGCTGGTGTCATTGATGCACTTGCGAGGGGAAGTTTAAAAGAGTTTGCACCAAGTGGCGACCTGTGTCCTTTCTTGTTTCGTCGCTGGCAAGCCAAGCATCGTTTGGCTGGGACGGCATTTTGCGCCCAGCTGCCTGGGATCTTGCCCTTGAAGTCTTTGGCCTTCAATCTGCCTTGTTGGCTGTGGAACCAACTGTATGAACGGTGAAGGGTGTAGTGTCCTACTTGGTGTGGCCGGTTCCCTCCCATGACGACAGGCTGAAACGACTGGATTGCCTCTATCATCCCTGGGGGAACGAAGAGGCCGGTGCTGCATGGGAGGCTCGCAACTTGCCCGTCCCTGGACACAACGCCACCTTTCCAACATGATCTCTACAGGTTCGTTCCCTTGTGCTTCCTTCCTACACAGCTCGGGCTCGGAACCATCGGTTACGGAAGTAGCTCCTGGGACTAGCTGCCCTTTCAATGGCTCAAGAACCCAAAAAATCACCTCAGGGTTCAGAGTTTGAAACATGCCCTCCTTCAGCACTGGGGCTGCCAGAGCTTTCCCTGCACGTGCTCTCGTTCCCCTACTCAATTCGGGGGCTGAGCCTACAAGAGAAACAAAGTCAAAAGTCCACAATTGGCTTTAGTCGCATCCCGCGAATTTCACGGATACCTAAAGATTCGAAATCAAGAAGCAGGCAGTTGTGAAGCAAACCAAGCAAGAGCTAAGTTGCTGGCGTGGTTCCCGTCCTTTGTGCTCAATTCTGCTGTTGTCTCGGGAGTCTCCTTGAAGTTCCACGCTGCCACTTTGATACCGATTGTTGTGCTGAAGTTAGACACACGCAGCAGAACTCGAGTTGCCATCCCGACCTCCACCGGCACGGTCAGCCTGCCAATGAAATCGTTTTCAGACCTCGCAGCTCCACTCTGCCACTTCATGACTGAGAAAACCTTAACTCTTGCAGCTTCAACACTTGACTATGCCCGACTGAAGTGCATCAATTGTATTACCAGGTGGGGGAGGCAGCACAAAAATCTTCAAAAGAGTTTGCGTGCAGCGCGCTTCTAGCAGCAGCATATGATGGAACACTGCTGCTTTTCCAGCTTCGAGCAGCAGACCTGGATGTTGCCAGGTCTGCAAGCTGTAAGTGGCTGGCATGGAGTCAAAGTCATAAAGCTTGAACGTTATGATCGACCACCTCGCCCGCCGCAGCTGGAAAGATTGACACTCGACTTTCGCACGCTTGACCCGACCAACTTAGCAACAACTTTAGACATCAAGCGGCCTGGTTGTGCAGCAGAAGCGGTGCTTGTAGGCTCTTGCCGCTTCCCAAGCTAGTCGGTCCTCAGTCAACACAACACTCAACACGTGCCTAGGCTTCTTGCTGCAGCCATGGGATATATACCAATTGTCTCGAATGTCATCTGCTGTCTCAACAGATGCCTTTCCGCTGAAGGCTGGGAAGCGCACATGCTGCGTGAAAAGAAAGACTGGGGCGTGGGTTGCCCACGTGGAAACCCACTCGAAACCAGCGTATATTGATCTCGTGCTGGAGTGACATTGCTCAGGGTGGCACAACACCGCCCATGTAGTATCTCCAGAACTCACCTCTGTCATGTTGGTCCTTGCATGAGCGGTGCTCCGTGCATGTCGCACTGCCAGATTCTAGGTTACGTCGATTCATTCTAGACCGGTGTGCTCAACAGAGAGAAGCGGGGCCTTCTCGCTCAGCAGCATGTGTTTGTCCATGGTGTTGAGCTCGGATCGCCCCCAGTCCTTTCCGCGCCGCTGATTCATGCTTTTTGGCTGTTGTACGATGCAAATCAATAGATGCAGCTAACCAATGCATATCGCTGCATCATACATTTGAGCTAAGGCCCTGGCAAAGGTATGAACTTTTGTCGAGCTTCTGACTTCATCCTCGGGATCACTACCAGGGCGTGCTAAGGTGACGTGCTTTGGGAGCTGCTGCACCATCTCCAGGTCTCTGGGCGGCGTGCTTCCCCAGTTGCCCTAGATGGCAACCGGCCGCAGTCAAAGCCAAGGCCAACGGAGCTCCCAATCCTGAGTCTTTGCGGTCTGGCCTCTGCTTTCAAAGGGCTCCAAGAGACTGCGGCCACTTCTGTGGCACAGGCGACCGCCGACACCTGCTGGCAAGACAATGTTTTTCTTCCAGCTTCTTGCCTCTCAGATTTGCAAAGGCTCCGGCGCTACAGACAGACCTGCAAGCTGGCGAACTACCTCATTGGCCACTAACTCGGCAACCTCGCAGCAAGTTGAACAGTCGCTCCTTTCAACGCAGTGCTGCTTATGTAGAACATGACCTTGCTGGACCTCACTAGCATTGCAACTCAGGGAATACCGGGTCCGGAGTCTGGCTTCAGGAATGCTTGCAGGCTCGAGACCTCTGTCGTGCAAAGCTTGCTCTCCAGCCCGGCGTCGTCCACGTCCTGTTCACAATCTCCAAATCACGAAAGATTTGATGATGCACGGCCTTGCACGGCGCAAACCTCTAACGCTGAGCTCTGGGCAGCTGGTTCCTGGTGTACATCCCAGAAGTGCACCAACATCTCAGCCTATGCGAGCGTTGTGTTGCTTTAAGTGCCTGCACTCGGTAAGTCTGAGAAGGCATGGCGGCACAAAAGTAGATACTGAGATGCGGTGCCGCTGTCATTCTTTGCAGCATCACACGCAGGGCCTGATTCTCTGCATGCTTGAGCTGATGCCGCTAATCTCTGCACTGACACTGATGTCCAATGCACGCCTTCTTTGCCATTTTCGCGTTGCCAGTCATCCCAATGTCAAGCAGTGGGTCCTGACATGTCATGTGTCGAGGCATCCCCGCAACTGAGGGAGCCGCGATTCCATGTTCTAAATGAGATGAGCGCAGTCGCATATCCCAATGCAGTCCATGGATTCCAGCGCGGGTGGTCGCCCATCAAAGCCCTAGCAAGTTGGCGAGCAGGTGCACATGGCAGGACTTCCACAGGGAAGCTTGAAACCTCAAAGCCATAGGGCCTCCAACCTGAAGCCCTCACAGCTGGAGTTGGTGATGCCATCCTTGGGAAAGCTTCTGCCTATTCGATACTACCAAGAGAGTCTAAACCCATCCGAGGCTACTCGGGTGCTGGAATTGACTATGCTAGCATGCTTCGCACGCATGCCCCATGCCCGAAAAGTGGCACAAGCGCAAGAGTGTAGATTTCTTTTCCAGCACGATGGGCCACGTTCCTCGCAGTTTTCCCCAGATCCTCTAGGCCTCTAGGCCAATCAGATGCTTGCGCGTGCCGCAGCCCATGTTGCCAGTTGCTGCCTGCAAGCACGGAACGGCAAACACCTTTCAGACCTGATTCGGTCTTGTCCAACATAGCATCGTACCAGCGGACCCTTTTTCAAACAGGGACATTGCTCTTATTCTCCCTTTGGCTATCAGCAGGCCCTGCTCTTCCTGCTGCGGGAAAGCCTTTGGGGCCCACGGCGGCCAGTGAAACAAGCATTCCAAACAATATTTGGGCTATGTGCAAGCTTGATCATCATGTTGACGTGGCGCACGCCCAGGGGGCATCTAACTGCAAACCTTCCTTAATTCCTTGAAGCTTCACACAAGCGTCTGCAAGCTGTTCTGTGAGGTTGGGAAGTCGCGACACGTCTCCAGCCAAAGACTGTTGTGAGATGACCTGGAGAAGCTGACGCCAGAATTTGTCCACCCTGCGAAACGTTTGAATCTCAGCAGGCATCTGCCTGTAGATGTCTCTGCCTGTGAAGAGCGGTTCCAGGTAGGTCCACAAGCTCTGAAGGACCACCAGCCGCTCGAGAATTCCATACATTCGGCCCAACCACTCCTCCCAATCTATAAGGCGTGGTGCCAAGGCCTGCACGTGCGATGAACCCAGCATCTCTCTGGTGCGCGCTTGGTGATCCACCACGACAGCTTGAAGATCCTCCAAACATCTCTTGGAGACAATGAAGGTCCCAGTGCTGGGCTCCAGATCGAACTGCAGGCCCCTCCACTCCTCTTCCATGGCATCCATCCCAAGTTCTATTGCATGTTCCTTTGTTGCTCCATCGCTGAGCTCTTCCAGCTCGTCTGCATAGTCACCGAGGTCCATTTCAATCGCTTTGGTCAAGGTAAAGCTATTGTCCGGTTCTAGAGGGAATCCGATGATGCTTGAGATCTGTTCCCAGTGGCGAGCTTGAAGGCACCGGTTGCAAAGAGAATAGAGAAGTTTCAGGTGACTGTCCTGCATGACTGCGGCTTGCGAGCCAAGCTGCTGCGCCACCAAAACCGGCATCGGCAGCACCTTGTCCTCTGTATCGTCATCTACTTCCACTTGGATGCTTGCCTCATCTAGATACACACGTCCCCCTCCAGCAACAAACACCTCTCGCATCCGGCTTGCCTCTTTTCTCATTCCCCGAACTTCAACTTCAACTTTTGCAGGGTCCAAATTGAAAAGCGGGCCCTTCAGCCAGGCCCTCATGCTCCGATCCATATTGTAAGCCAAGGTCCACAGCGCGTGGTAGGGCTCCAAGGCTTGCTCACCACGCTTCAGCTGCTCGAAGGGGCTGCGGACCTCCCAGCCAAATCGCCTCTCCTTCGCATTAAGCTTTTCCGCCTCCACATGAGCTTTGCTGAAGTTGTTCTTCAAAGCTTGGATTCTTTCCAGGTACTCGTCAACCTGACGCAAGTTCCCACAGTCTTTGAAGCGTTCGACTTGTTCGTTGTAGCCTTCCAAGTCCTCCAAGAACTTGTTCCTTTGCTCCTTGAACTTACTCTCCAAAGCCTCACGCTCTCTCTTGAGGTTAACTTCACGCTCGCAAACCCTCTCGTCTATAGAGCTTACCCATATGGCAGAGTCATAAATGACTTGGAAGTGGCGCTCTTGCAGCAATGCGAGGAGCAGCTCATTCTCGCAACGGAATAGGAAGGAAAGCCACTCCCGAATGCTATCAAACTCTTTCAGAAGTTCCTGAAGTCCAGAGGCTCGAAATTCCTCGACATACATTTCCAGGTCCACCAACTCCATCTCACTTGTGGGCTTTTTGACCATTTGGTTCACCACCATCTCAAAGCTCTTGCAGAGCTGCTCGTTCCTAGATAAGAGATTCCGAAGAACAGCTTCCATAAGGATATGAATTGCATCCTCAGCCTTGCAACAAAGAGTTTCGTTGATTTCCGAACAATGAATCGACACCATTGGCAGACAGATCTCCTCCAAGCAATGGGCGCGGATTGTTGCTTGGGTCGCTCGCAAAGTCTTCACTTCATGCATGACGTGGTCCTGCGTCAAGTGGTCTTCTGACAACTTCTTTATTCTCGCGTCCTCCACAAGCAAGTGCTTGAAAGCATCGAAGGGCGCCAGTGCCTCGACGAGCGCGGCCAGGTTCTGCCGCATAGTCACTGCCACAGTATGTTGTGCCTGCTGGACATACGCCTCTTCTAATGACACGCTCCAAAGCTTCATGGAGTAACCTCGCTGCGCATAGCCATCCGGAAGCCTCAAGCCGTTAAGACTGACAACAAAGTTTTTGAAGATCTGCAGCAAGCAAATTTCAACCTCTTCTAGAGATGTTGTAAACTTGATGTCAGGGCCATCGGCCTGAAGCCCCACGCGAAGGAAGGCCTCATTCCCTCCACGTCCGAAACGCCCGAAAAAGTGAACAAATGCCGCAATACTTTTATCCACCACACTTCTCAGCTGGATGCTCAGCAGAGTCAGCGGGCACATGCCGTGGCTGTGCTCCAGAACCTGCATGGCTTCAAGAAGCCACTCTGCCTCCAAGGTTTCCCTTACTTGCTGTATCCGAAGAGCCTGAGCGCGGCAGAAGGACTGCAGGTCCTGCAGTTGTTGCCCCGGCTCAGGCAAATCCACCAGCAGCAGGTGGTGGTACTTCCGGTGCCAGAGGTCCAAAAGCCGTAAGGATGCGGTGCTGCACGGAACAAGCTCAGTTGCATCTTTGAGGACGATTTCTATGCTTTGCCAGCCCCGGGGCAGGCCACCAGCGGTGCCTTCAATTCCTACAAAGGGCTGCGTGCCCCACAAGGGGATTGGGCTCGGCACGAACAGGACACCTGTCCTTTTCCGCAGCTGGTCGCTCAGCGCGTGTTCAGCTACCACTTTTCTGAGTGCACCATGGTAATCCTGCAGAACTTCCTGCCACATGTCCTGCATCAGTTCTGCAGCAACTGGCAGTTCGCCAAGACTTTGGTCAACAAGGCGCAAAATGTTGTCCGCCCAAGATTTGCTGAAGGGAGCCAAATACGACGTCGGAATAGTCTCTAAATAGTGACGGTACCGGTGCAGCACTTCATAAAAATGGAATCGGCTGATCTGTGCACCAGCTATTTCTTCATCCATCGGGGAGCCATCTTCAATTTTTGGAAAAGTGTTGGAATAGTCAATGCCCAGCTCAACGACTGTGTAGTCGCACTCAGGCGGCAGCCACCGCAATGACCTGTCAGGGTCTAACTGTCTCACGGCAGCTTGCCGCTACTTCGCCACCAAACCACATGCTGCATAATGCGTGCTGCCTACATGGCCTGGCCTAGCAGGAACTCCGAAGGGCTTCCAGGTCAGACGTGCAGTCTTCGTGAAACTTGTGGCGATGCGGCTGCTTACGGAACCTGGATCATCTGCGCCAGTGAAAGGAGCAGCCTGCAGGGACATTTGGCTATCTTTAGGTCAAACTAATTGGCTCCCCTGCATGCATGTTCCTACGACTTTTTGATTCAATGCCTGGGTTCGGCTGAAATCATTCAGCAAGTCGGGGAAAGTCACAGGCTGACTCGGCAAAGACTTGTACAGAGCTTTAAACCCAGGATTTGGGCGCCTCCGCCCACTTAGAGGTCTACGCGGAAGAGGAGGGGCTGAGAGCCAAGAGCTCTCCATTTTCTGCATTCGTGGCCGCATGCCACGTGCTTGTCTAGCCTTCCTTTCGATCACAGACAGGTGTTTCCGCAATGGAATCGTTGCTTCGAAGGCAGCCAGGGCGACGTTGCGCTCAGAGGGCTTCGAACGGAAGCTGAGCTGGCGACCGCTGCATAGAAAACAACCCAGAGGCGCAAAGCTAACCGCCGAACTTCGAGTCGTAGACATCTCCTGGCCCATGCGAAAGATCATTGCAGCAAGCGCTTGCTGCACGATGTCCTTCGTCACCTCCATTACCCTGGCCACGGCCGATACGGAATGCTTGACGCGAGGGCAGAGTTCCTTCTCAACAGCTAAGCCCGATACGTCCAAACCATGCTGGCAATAAAACTCAGCCAACGGGGCAAAAGCAACATGTGAGGGCTGCGACCGCAAGAAGCCAAATGTACCCAGCCCAGGGAAGAAGATGCTCTTTCCACCCTCCATCTCCTTGAAGATGGAAAGCGCGGTGCTTTCCCAAATGCGGAGAACGAGCTCTGGCCCTTTAAGCGGGTGGCCTACTGCCTGCGTCACGCTCTTGGAGCAGTCGTATGCTAGGTGCTTTGCGCCCATGTCTGCATCTGCATCCGTCAGATCTGGGCGGTCACCCTCAACAACCTGAAGCTCATCCGCACGCGCTGTGAGAAGCCCATTAGGGTCTTGCTCCGAATCCTGTGACGTCTGCAAGTGTGCACCTGGGCTGCCATCGCTGTCAGTTGACATTCCTATCAGGCAGGTCGGAGGGCCAAGTCATCCTCTAAATCAACCTTGGTGAGACATCTTGACCCCAGAGAACGAACACAGAAGCCTGCTGCACTAGCCTCGCTTCCTTCATACACCTCTGAACATGTCTCTCACACGCATGGAAAGCTATCGACAGCATCAGGCTCAAGCGGAGCCTGCGGCATAAGAACACGGCGACCAAGCAGGCAAGACACGCCACCCAAGGCCATCAGCAAAGACCTACCTTGCTTGATTGTCACTCTTCACGGAATCCACCTGGAGCTGCTTCGGCCTAACTAGTAAAACAAGAACCCGGTGAATCCATGATGCCACGCCCTGCACATGCTGCCCGGCGCGATTAGGCCACTGTCCATGACCGAAAAATTGCGTTTCGCAAGAGCTGGTTAAGCGCGGGAAAATGTCGCATGCATCATGACCGACATGTAGGCTACCTTTCCACAACAAGAGGGATGGCGCAGCAGCGGCTTCTAATCTGACCTTGACATAGAGGGAGGTCTCCTACAACGAGACGCGCAGCGCACAAACGCATGATACGCATGCAAGCTAAACATCCCCGGCGAGACCTGCTTGAGATCAAACTCCAAACCTGGTTTTATATGCGAAGCACGACTTTTTGGAAGACTTGAGTTCTGCAGGCTGGCAGATGAGTGCAATGCGTCTTGCCGTGCTGAAGATCTAGCATACTACTGCACGTAGCTGAGCTATGACAACTCATGACAAAACACAACTTCCGTCTGCCTTGGGCCTTGACAGCGATCAGTCAGAGTATATTCTGTGGGGGTCGGATGGCACTCACGGGTGACCAAGAGCAGTAAGCGTCTGGCAACCAGACTCTGACGAAGGGCAGCTGCCCGAGACTTTCCTTGCCAGCCGGCCTGCCCAAGCCGCAAACCACCTCCGTGGCTCCCTTCATAATTTAGCCACGTGCTCTGGAAGGGCAACCGGGAGGCCTGCGCTGTTTTCTGACCAATCTTGACATCCAGCAGCCGCAGCCTGCAGTGCCGCAAGCTCAGGTTTCTCTGCTTTCTAGCTAGCGTCTCATGCCAGGGCCCATACTTCGAGCATCCGCATCTCAAATTTCGCATGACCTCTGCAAGGCAGGAAGCACGGCAAGCGATCTGTCCACCACACCCGGCCATGAACCATTGTATACGCTGCCTGGCACCGCATAAAGCTGCTGGTTACGGCTAAGCTGTGATAATAACAAAGGCTGTGCCAAGCACAAGAAGCTCATTTCGCTTTTCATCTCCGGACGCTGTCTCCTCCCGTAAAAACATAGATATGCGCCCTCTCTGGCCCACAGATTGAGCTGAAGCTGGAGCATCTTGCAATATCTTGCAATGCATGATGTCACATCCACTCCAAACATATGAATCCGCTCGCCCACAGCCTCACAGGCTGACTCAAAGGCAAGTCCTCCGTGCAGCTCAGAACTCCAGCGTATTCCAGCGTGTAGCCTTTGCTCAATTTTTGCCATGCAGCGAGACTCTTTGGTTGCCAGCGCCTAGCATCTGCTAGCATCTGAGCCCTTCGCCGAGCAGTGGCCCCAGGCTGCTTCCATGCCTGTGGCTGAGTGCCTGCTGGGCCCAACGTCACCGTCACCACTTGCAAATGCTTCAAAGATTGTCGCAGGTCGCAACAGCTAGGGGCCGTCTTCCCGTGTGATGTCGGGCAAGTGCAATAAGCAGCAGTTTTCTTGACCCATTAAATGCAGGGTCCTTTCGACATTGGAAAGGCATTTCGCGTGGCCCTCAAGGCCCTAACAGGATCTGTCAATTCCTGCAACTGACATGTGCAATGCAATGGCCTCCTCGTAAAAGTTTACTTCATCCTCTGCATGACTCAGGTCCTTGCCTCAGCCCAGCATGCAGAGTCAGCTGTCTGACTTCAGGGGCCATAACAAACCGGCATGAGCAGGGTAAGGCAAAGAAGCCAAGGTTGCCACCAATGAAATAGTCAGCAGGCCTCAGGGACTGAGACACGACGTAGGCACGACTCCCCGTTTAAAAGTTTACGACATGCTGCTCTGCATCTTTGCATCTTGGAATTGGGCCTTGATGAAGTGGGCTCCTTCAAACACAGCCTGGCATCACATTCTTGGAGTAGCCAATGGGGTTTCAACAAGTCCCACTGCAAGCGCTGCTGCTTAGCTGCAGCTCAGCAACAAAGGTATTCTTTCGGCAGTCTGTTATCAGTGCATGGTTCGAGTCATATTGCTGGCCTCCTACTTCCATTATCACAAAAGGCCAAAGACCACACCTTTGCCATAGAATCCGCTGCCCCTGCTATCGATGATCTGTGCTGCTTCATTGCATGCGTTGTTTGTTCCAGGTTCACATTTGGACAACATCTTTGCAAGAACATGTGCTTACGCTCGCACCGGAATTAGTTTGCGTGACCTACAGTACCATTGCCCCTGTTATACAGCCAATTTGCAACTTCCTTGTCCCAACACAGTGACAAGCCAACAAGTCTTTCTTGTCCAGCAGCTTCCACATGCACCCCAAACTCGCCTGGCTTGGGGGGACAAAAGCCGAGGGCGGCACTTGAAAAATGCTGCGCTGCCGCCAGAGACCCCGAGTCTCTCAACTTTGGCATCGAAGCGGCTTGGACTTAGGGCATCCGTACCATCAACATGAAGACATGTAGTCGCGTTGGCCCGCAAGGTGCCTTCGGTCTCAGTGTGCGTGACTACGCTAGGCTTGCAAGAGTCCAGTGGACATGACTAGCCACGACCAGAAGCATTCGTGAAGTACCGGCCCTCCAAAATTTCCGACGCAACCCCTCCTTATGCTGGACTGCACGGGTAAGGCTGCAGCTCCACTTTTGTCAATGGCCCAGCCTGCATGCCAGTTGGCCCAGCGACCACTGTGAAAGCGAAAGAGAAGCGAGGCTCAGCGAGGCATCTGAGGCTCAAGTGGCCAAAAGACATGGAGCCAAGGCGCCTGCGCCTCACCAGGCTGCCGGCTGACAAGCAAGGCCTGGCCAAAAGTTGATCAGTCTCCACGGTCTTTTGAGAGCCTGTGTGCTACATTCTTGCTATGCTCAAGCTTCTCAAGCTGGGGTGAATCCGCGCGACTATTACAAGCGATGCTTGAGTGATCTCTTCGAAATGGAGCACCCTTGCCGCTACGCCCAACTTGTAGCATCGGGCATGTTTTAAGCTCCTCATGTGCCGGAAACCTAGAGGAGACTGTCCCTTCGACAGCTGTCCTCCAGGCGACCTCACCGCACAAATCAGATGAGAAGAATAGCAAAAGGGGGAGATGCCAGGATTCCTGAGCGTCCCGAAAGCCAGAAACGATTGAAAATGCCTGCACGAGCGTGTCAATTCACTTATCTTAAATCCTGAAACAAGCCATCATGTTGCTCCGCTCGTGGGCCTTGCCACAGCAACGTGGTCGGGTCAACGTGTGCCAATCCTATTATGTACTATAGGGCAACTGGCTAGACATTGCAAACCTCAACAACATGGAATGAAATCCGCAAGTTGCTGGAAACAGTGAGAGAGCCTCAAAAGGCTCCTCTCTTGGTATCCCCAAAGAATGGTGACATTGGCACCAGATGGCACCAGCAGGTCAGCAAATGGAACTGCACGTGCAGCTTTGGTATTCAACGCGCCATGTCGAAGATGCTGCACAGGTAGGAAGCAAGCTAGCAGGACAAGCTAATGGCCTGGACCTGATGATTCTGTTGCACTCATGTCCGACAGGCGGGTGAAATCTGGGGTCGTAAACCTGTGCAAAACCCAACCACAAGGCCGAGGCAAAGTTTGCCATATTCGGCCTCCCATACTAGTCTTACACTTGTTGCCTGTGTTCTGTGGCCTCTGCGTGCGATACTTTGTCACGCTGGGCGAAAGTCTTTGCTGTTCAGCATGCTATACAGCTGCCGCCATCTGTGGCAGAGTCTGTGACCAATCGAATTGCAAGAATGCACGCCCTTGCCAGCAATGCGTCCTTCCGGGCGCCATGCTGCCTGGCCAGGAAAATGTTTCTACACCAGGCCGGAAACAAGAAAGTGCTGCAAGCTGCGGTTCGGGCGCCTTGGGCAATCTCAGGCCACTACAAGCTGCTGGCTGCCAGATCCAGCTCTGTGCGCAGTGCCTGCGGCAAGTGTTAGTTACTTACAGGCATCTAAAACTCTTCTGGTAACTGAAAGGCCTGAAAGTAGTTTGTCTTCTCATCGTGAGAACCATTCACGTATAGGAAATAGGCTCGCGTTCGAACGCGCTCCTGCCACGAAAAGGTGGGGCCAAACTTGTTTCAATGTCTGGAAACCAAGTAGAAGAACAGTCTGAAGACTGCCTGATACGTTAAGCTTGTGCTGCTGGCACCCTGCACTCCATGTGTTATACCAGTCTGGTTTACCACCAGCCTGCCACTGTCAACAAATTGCTTCGGTTCACACTGAAGGCGCAGGTAGAGCTGCCGTCGTTTAAGCCTGCGTGGCTAGCTCCAAAGGTTTGTAGTACCTTTTCTCCGAGTCAACCATGACGAACATGCAGGCTGGCAAAGAGTCATGCCCCAAATGCCAAATGACCAAGAACCATTTGGAATGCGAGCTCTTCAGCGATGTCCTCGAAGGCTATTGGTACTCCACCATGCGCAACAAACCTCAAATGGAAACAGTAACCGAAACCATAGTCGTGATCAAGAGGCCTAGCTAGCCCAAGTGATCCATAACAATTTATATGGCGTGGATTGAAACTAGCACTTCATTTCATTTCCAGCACTGGCATCAAGGCGTGAAATTCGTACGCGTGTAAACGGCTAAGCAGGAGTTCGCAGAAGTTAGTTTACACTTATCCATGCTGCGTGTTCACGATTGCTGCCGCAGGCCATTGCCATGAATCTCATGATTGCATTGTATGCTTATCGCAAAATGAAGTGCAACGACAAATTTTAGGTGCAATGTTTGTTGTTCGTTCTTTGCCTTGCCTATATTTCGACATCATACATGAAACATCCCAGTGATGAAGGACCTGATTATTCAGCAAGCTCCACGGCCGGCTAGTTTTCAGAAATACGTGCGGGCTTCAGCTCCGTGACGGTCACCCATTTTTGCAGGGTGGGTTGGAGGCGCATGCGGCCTCCGAGAAACAATGTTTCGGGTCTTTCACATGCATCCTACTGCGCGTACACATGCAGATGTTTCACATGTCTTTCACATTCTCCATCTCCGTCAAACGCACGGTTTGCAGCTGCGCCTCCCCCAGCATGCCCCGTTACTCTGCTTACAACAAAAATTCTGCAGTTCTGAGCCAATAAAGTGGCATCCTTTCATCTCAACCACATGCTTTTCAAGCAGGAGTACCTACCAAATCCTACTGGTAGCAAATTAAAAATGAAGGCGATTTCTACGTTTGACCACTTTGCACCTCAACCAGTGGATTGTACAGCAGGAATCCTGTACCACTCTCCAACTGCCGCTAGCTTTTAAAGATCTTGGGATGACGCATTCATGTTTAGATTGCCATCGCTGGTGCTGCAAGTATCCTCCGTCAGCTTTGTGGCAATGCCAGTGACTGCGTTCTGCGTGTCCGGCCACCAGCAAATGTCATGAAGATCACAGCGCGGCAAAGTTTAAATGACTGAAAAAAAGCTCGCAGAGTTCGGTTTATCCCTGGGACGTATCTGTTGCGAATTACGCTTGTCAAATGTTCTTGCAGAGTGTACGACATGCTCAACCCTCCCTCCCATTTTGTAGCATTGTGGCCTGCTAGGACACTCCGTCACCAAAGAACATCATCAACATCGAGAATAAGAGTGCTGACAGCAATGGTTAGAATCCTGCAAAGCCCGTCTCAAAGCAACTGAGATGCACCCATTATGTCCAAGGTCATACATACCACTATCCCAAAGTCAAACCTACTCAGGATTAGAGGCCTGCAAGCGGCAACACTGTCAACGCACAAGAAAAATCTCATGACGAGAACGAGATGCCATGGACACGGTTTAAGGTCCAGGGTTTTAGGAACAAGGTGATGGCCCGACGTTCTTTGAGGCTGGCTAAGGCAGCCTCGAAAAAAGAAAAAAACATGCGTTGACAAAAGTGATAATGAGATGTGTGCTGCTCAGCGGTTCATCTTGCAAACGAACTCTTGGTGGCAAATTTTCAAACACGGTCATGGGACGATACTCTCTGGCGATAACCTTGCACGGTTTTCAAAACAGCGGGAGGGTTCCCCCCCAACTGCTCGGACGAACCTGTTATTGAGTATCTTGCGGGCCTTGGTTGAGGGGCTGTGCAAACAAGGTGATGAGACGATGCCCTTTGAGGCCAGATGATGATCGGATGACAGGAATTCTGCAAACTACAACACATTCATTCATGGTGACTAGTGCTGTGGTACTCGTGGTACTCGTGGTACTGGTGAAGACAAGAAGCCAAGAAACCAGAAAGCTAAAGAGTCTAGGATAACCTCCAGGAAGCCAGGAAGCCCCGAAACCGGAAAGCCAAGAAGCTCTAGAAGCCAGGAAGCCAAAAAGCTGTAGAAGAGCTCAGCAATTGGAAACAAAGAGGTCATAAAGCAATGTAGATGAGCACACCATAACAAGAAGAGCCCCAAACCCCCAAAACAAATGAAAGCATCCTTTAAAAAATGTGTCTACATCGATGACGGTCCGCCTTTTCGATCTCGAATGCATCTGTTGCGATCTTGGGTGTGGTTGGATTCTACTTTGCTCTGCACCCCAGCTGTCTGCTGGGTTAACTTTAGCAGTCTAAGCAGGTTACAGAGGGGAGCACTGCATCAAACGCTGCAGCATCACAGGAACTGCAGCAAGTGCAGATGAAATGCTGCTCTGCATCTTGGTCGTGCGTCTGGTGCCTACGCAGAATGTCTTTGAGTGACAACTGTTGGTAAGAGGTACAGTAAGGAAACTGTAAGTGTCCGAGCGCATTTGGGCCTTTCGCGCTGCTCCTGCCCTTTTTGCCAGATCTGAACACGCACGGCGAAGACTTCGCCATACGATGCCGACAGCTCCTGTAGAGCCTTTCAGGTCAAGAGCTTTCTTCAAACAGCCCGTGCCTCTGGCGCAGCCTCCGACACCTCCAAGTCGTTATCCTCGTGCTCCTGAACAGGACTTGTACTCGAGTCCAGCACCCGGCTACGGCTTCAAGCCTAGTACATATGCCAGTTTCTGAACCGTTGCTGGATTTCTTCTGGAAGCCACTGACCTTGTACCCCTTAGTTGATTTTCAACTCCCCATTTTTGGGCATGCCAGGGCTGATGTTGAAAACTCCCACTCCTGGCGCCAATCCTGTTTCCTGTCCAGATATCCAGGCGCATGCTCGTTCCCACTTCCCTCTTTTCCCTTCTAGCCCTCCTTCCGAGACCCCTCCATGTCCGCCGCGACTTCCTTGGCTCCTACCTCAAACAGCCTACCCAACAGCCGCACGCAAAGGCGGAGCGTCCTGTAGCGCGCTTGTCCCCACCGCCAAAATATATACGCAACATTTTTGAACTTTGAGGTCGAAACATACATCTTAATTTTGAAGGATCTTCAGCCCAACCAACATACAGCGCCTGGGCCTACACTTGAAGCTGCATGTGACAAGTGAGAGCACACTGGGTCTAAAGAAATTCAATTCAGAGTTTGAGTAACACTTGACAAAAAAGCCTGGACTGCTGGCACATCCGAATGCGCAGCAGACATGACGTCAAGGTTCTTGTAGGGTTCCCTCCCGTCCCTATTTTCCGCTTACTTGGTCCAGCGGTCTGGTCTGCCAGGCGGTGCTCCCATGCATGCCTGAAATTGAGGGAAAGCTATCGATTTTGAGCATTTTATTCAGGGCCCTTATACAGCTCTAGTAGCACGCAAATGCCCTGTTGAACAAGTGACCGAAATTCAGCAAAAAGCCCGCACATGGACCGCAGGATAGCTACATTGATGGGGAGATATGCTGAACGTTTCACAAGCTGGAAACTTGGCCACTTGTATTCAGGGGCATTGTGTCTCTAATAGAGATAGATAC